GGAAAGAAGGAAAAGGAGGAAAAGGAGGAAAAGGAGGGAATTTTGGAAGGAAGGAAAGAAGAAATTTTGGAAGGAATTTTGGAAGGAATGTTGAAAGGAATTTTGGAAGCAATGTTGGAAGGAAGGAAGGAATTTTGGAAGGAATTTCAGAAGGAAGGAATTTTGGAAGGAAGGAATTTTGGAAGGAAGGAATTTTGGATGGAAGAAATTTAGGAAATAGGAAGGAATTTTGGAAGGAAGGAATTTTGGAAGGAAGGAGGGAAGGAATCTTGGAAAGAAGGAATTTTGAAAGGAATGAATTTTGGAAGGAAGGAAGGAAGGCATTTTGGAATTTTGGAAGGAATTTTGGAAGAAGGAAGGAAGGCAGGAAGGAAGGAATGCAGGAAGGCAGGAAGGAAGGCAGGAAGGCAGGAAGGCAGGCAGGAAGGCAGGAAGGAAGGAAGGGAAGCTGTCAGTTTTTGTTTATTTATTTATCCATAGTTACAGCTGGATAAGCAGGCGGGGTGTGTCTCCAGGGTGAGGTTTTGTTGGTGTCACCAGCTGTCCCCGCGGCACAGAGAGCGCGGCTGAGCTGTGACTCACCCGCCCGGCTCCCATTTCACTCTCCCAGCTCTCCCAAAATGTTCCTCCAGCCCAGAATGCCACACAAGCGTCCTTTCCCCTTGGCAGGCAGGTGTGGGGTGATGGGGACAGGGAAGAGCCAGGTGAACTCYGGGAATTCCTGCTGCAGGGACAGGAGGGACAGCACCGGACCTGCAGGGGACACAGGCAGAGAGACAGAGCAGAAATCCCTGCTCAGAGTGGGGACAAAGCCACCAGAGTGCTCAGRGGTGCCTCTGAAGCTGTTGGAGAAGCTGCTTTGGACTTGGATAGATGCAGGATCCTCAATTTCTATAAATTCAGCAGCAGGAGCCTCAGTTTCCATAAATCCAGCAATGTCTGGGAGCTTCTCCCAGCACAGACTGTCCCTTAGCCTTGTCCTGGGTGTCCCCTGTGGCTGAGCCACGATCCCCCCATGCTGGGCTGAGGGAGATGGGGAAGGGGCGGGAAAACCCTGAGGRAGKTGGGAAGGGTTTGGAGATTCATGAGGGAGCTGGGGAAGGGTCTGGAGAATTCCTGAGAGAGCTGGGGAAAGGTTTAGAGAGTCCCGAGGGAGGTGGGAACGGGTTTGGAGAAACCTGAGGAAGCTGAGGAAGGGTCTGGAGCACATGGATGAGGGTCTGGAGAATCCTGAGGGAGGTGGAAAAGGGTTTGGAGAATCCTGAGGGAGCTGGGAAGGAGCTCAGCCTGGAGCAAAGGGGGATCGGGGGGGACCTTGTGGCTCTGCACAACTCCCTGACAGGAGGGGGCAGCCGGG